GACTGGCATGCTGCATGGACAAAGAAAAGGTTCAAAGGTACCTGCTCCCTCTGCGGAGAAGGATCACGTCTCCAGGCGTCCGACCAGTGAGAAATGAGAAAGACACACAATCTCCTACTCTCATCCCCAGGCAATGAAGTAATCCCAAACTGTTCTTCCAAGTTGCATTCAACAAGGACGTCTTAGCGCCACCAATCTCTATCTCCAAAGCAGCCCGGTGACCCAAGAGGCTCCCCCCTTCCTCTAAGTCACTCCCTACCCCATGCTGGCAGCCTGCTCTAGGAAGGCAACAGGTGATGGATGACACACAGCACACGAGAAACACAGGACCCTACAGCCTCACAGCACAGCTTCGCAGCCAGCTCCAAGAGCTGAAACGGAATGCCAGCATCCCTTCCGTGGGGATCGCGTACCATACCTCAAGTTCCCATATTCTCCTCAAAGCTCACTAGCCCTCCCACCCAAAGAGAAACTGTTTGTTCCTTTCAACTCCAAAGACTTATGATAGTACATGCTAATTGCTCACAATACTGGGGTGAGAGGGTTCTCACACAGAAGAGGCTGACGGGGTCACACAAAGAGCTGTGACAGTAATAGGTACCCTTGAAGAGAGAGAGGGTAATCAATTATGAGCTCTTTGTAGAAATTGCGGGGCTGTCAAAAGCCCCAGTTACAGCTGTGCTTCATCATGCCAGGCTGCATCTGATGTTCAAGGGAAATTCTTCCTTCTTCTAAAGTCTAGGATACTTGTTGGTAAAATATCCTAGCCAGCCCAGGTTCAACCAGTGTCTAATCTGAAGAGAAGTTCATGGTGCCTGAGACAGGTATGTTTTCTCCTGAACAGCAGCCAACTTCAATGTCCTCCCTGGAATCCTCTACCCTAGCACGCATCAATCCCCAATCCACATTTTAAAAGCAGAAGAGTGGACCTTAGAGGTCACTTGGTTGTATAGTTCTCTGGGCTTTGATACATGTCAAATGTTATGTATCCACCATTTACAGCGTCATGCACAGTAGCTAATAATAAAGTATCAGCATTGGCTCATCAATTGTAACAAATGTCCTACACAAATGCCGGATGCTATTATAGGAAAAACTGTGCTGGGGGGGAGGGATGCAGACATGCACCAGAACTCTCTATACTTCTGAGATAATTTTTTTGTAGACCTGTAACTATTCTAAAATAATAAAGTATTCTTTGTTTTTTGTTTTTTTTAAGAAAAGTATTCCTTTTAGACATAGCCTAAATGCTTCTGGCTGAGCCCCAGTTGGTGCCCTTGGCTGCTAACTCAAAGTTCGGTGGTTCAAGCTGACCAGCTGCTTCACACAGAGGAGATGAAGCCGGCTCCTTCCATAAAGACTTGGAGCCTCGGAAGCCCTAAGGTGCAGTCCTATTCTATCTTATTGTTACTCTGAGTGGGAATCGACTTACCAGCAATGGGTCTAGGCTTTTGTTTTGTTGTTCGGTATGTTTTTATGAAGTAAAATAGAGAAAACTAATATAGAAAGGAAAAACATAAAAGAAGTCCTTAAATTATTTTCTATTCTTTTCACTAAATGTCCATTAGTTATTGCTTGTGGCTTCTCGAAGGCACACGAGAATTGAGTGGATGCTAGACATTCCCTTGAATCTTGAAAAAAATTTTACTGAAACCAGTTTAGATGCCCATGGTGTTGTTGTTGTTAGGGTTAAGTGCCACTGAGTTGGTTCCAACTCCTAGCAACCCTGTATAGGGTTTCCAAGGAGTGGGTGGGAGTTTGAACTGCCAACCTTGCAGTTAGCACTCTGGTGCTGATCCTAAATGTCAAAACAGGAGTGGCAGATGTTAGTAGGTATATCTTCATATCTGAAAAGGTGCGGTGACAATCACTTTAGCCTTCAGAAAAAGTTATAAGCAATTGAAAAAAAAAAAAAAAAAAACTAGCTCTGGTGGCGTAGTAGTTACGAATCGGGCTGTGAACCTTAAGGTCAGCAGTTCGAAACTATCAGCTGTTCTGTGGGAGAAACATGAGGCTTTCTGTTCCCGTAAAGATGTACGGCCTCAGAAACCCTGTACAGGGTTGCTATGAGTCAAAACCGACTCCACGGCACATAACAACAACAACAACAGTTGTTATCAAGTCAGTTCTGACTCGTGGCAGCCAGTGTTGCAAAGCAGAACTGTGCTCCCTCCACAGGGTTGTGGCTGATTTTCCTGCAGATACCCAGCATTTCTTCTGAAGTACCTGGGGTGGGGGGCTTTCAGTTAGCAGTTAAGCAGGGTAATCATTTGTACCTCCCCAGGGCTCTAGCAAAGGTGGTTGTTGTTGTGTGCCATCAAGTCGATTTGGATTCATAACAACTCCATTGTTGTTGCTGTTGTTAAGTGCTGTGAAGTCGGTTCTGACTCATAGTGACCCTGTATAGTGTTTCCAAAGAGCGGCTGATGAGTGTGAACCGGCTTCTTTGTGGTTCAAACCTTGCAGTGCAGTGTTCTATCCCATAGGCCATACATACCAGGACTCCTAACAACCCCATATGGCAGAGTAAAATTGCCCTATAAGGTTTCCTAGGCTATATAACCTTTACAGGAGACAATTGCTGGGTCTTTCTCCAGAGAAGCACCTCACGAGTTTTCACCACAAAGATTTTGATTAGCAGCCAAGCACGTATGCATTTCATCAAAGGGCCCCTTACTTTCTTTCAATGCTTTTCGCTTCTGTATCGGCTTTTATTTATGTATTTATTTGTGTTCTCCTTCGGCCATTTTAACAACGAAAGTCAAAGCTCACACAAGCCCCAATGATGAGCTGAATTCTCACTCTCACTCCAGGTTTCTAAGTGTTTGATTTCTAGTCTATGATGCTCAACCCCACTGGAAGGGCACTATTAAACAGTAAAGTTTCAAATGGCCTCCGTGAGGTGACTTTCTGAACATTCATTTCATTGAATCTTCTATTATAATAAAAAAATTTACAAAAAAGGAAGAAATTTCCTTCTTCAGACCTTTAATGTGCAACTCAAGTGGATTCTAACAAAGGAGGAGTTGGTGCCTGATGGTGTTAAGTGGTTCCCCACCAGCTGCCGCCCTGCGCTGCCCCCAACAGGCACAGGTACCCTAAAGCCACAGCCCAGTGTCACACATGCTTCCAAAGTACTTGCCTTTTAACAACATTTAAGGCAAAGCAATTAAGACATACCTACTGGATACACTAGGATCCATGGTTTCTGAAGGAAAGTGATAGCCTAGATACACGTATTGGTCTCTATTCATCCAGAACTACAAAGATGGTGGGCACCCAAGACTCAGAGAAGAAACCTGACTCTAGAATTCAGTTCAGTCCACACAAACAGCCACGTCTATCCTGAGACCAAGAAAAATTAGACGGGGCCCAACCGCCACTACAGAGCAGTCTCATCAGGGTCACAACAGACGGATCATCCCTGAGACAATGTGGGGAAAACATAGACCAGAACTCAAATAGTTAACAAGCTCAGACTTACTGGACCTGTCAAAACTCCCCCAGACTCTCATCCTGAGATACCCCATAAACCCTGAACCAAAACAACCCCCTATGGCCCCTTCTTTCTCTCAGATTGGCTCACAAAATACAGAATATTACCCAGGTGGACTGTGCTCCTTCCAAAAACCACCTAGATGAGACTAAAACATCAATAATTAAAGAAAAAAAAAAAATGAAAAGGAAAGGAAGTAAGGAACTAGATTACTGAAAATGGAACATCCTGGATGGAAATTATGAGAATGTTCACACACTGTGAAGAATGTAACCAACATCAATGAACAATTTAGGTAGAATGGGGACCTAATCTGTGGTGAAAACTTTCACGAAAAACACATGAGGATATTCTTTGAGAAGAAGAAAAGCAAATGAATGGATACTAGCTATGACATTGGGTTTCCTAGAGTAAATTACCTACCAGAAATGGAATACAGGAATAAGTCTAAGAAGGCTGACGGATTCAGTGCAGTGAAGAGAAACCGCATGCTGGGGGCATTCCCAGTTGTCCATCAGAAATTGGAGAAGGAAGGGAAGAGGAACTTGGGAGGAGGCAGGTCTCCAAGAATCAGAATCAACTCCATGTGAACTGATTTTTAAAGAGTTCTTGGGTGGTAAAAGTTGTTAACATGCTTCTAACTGAAGGGCCGGTGGTTTGAGCCCAAAATGAGGCAACGCAGAAGAAAGGCCTGGTGATCCAGTCCTGAAAATCAGCCCTTGGAAACTATGCACACCATTCCACTCTGACACACATGGGGTTGCCGTGAGTTGGAAATGACTCAAAGTCAACTGGTTGTTGGTTTTAGTAGGAATGATGATGGGGTTACAGGAGGGAGAATGGAGGAGCTTAGGGGGAGGGGGCAGTGGTCTCCTGCATCAATGCAGAATCTGGCCGATTCTAACCTGACCCACCTTCTCAGAGTGCGTGTCACCATCAGCCAAGTGTCACCAAGGCATCAGCCCTTGGCAGTATTTGTCTAGACCCCAGTGGCTATGGTCCCGCAGTCAGTTTTATCTAAGAGACTGTTATAGCTCTAATTTCTCGACTCTTACTTTGTATTCAAAACCAGAGAGTGCCAGAAATCTGAGACAATGATCTTTTCAAAATCAGTTGACACTAGGGTGCATGAAAATAGGTTGTGTCAATCAGAGCACTTCTGAAAGCAGGGTTGACTCTGAGCAGCCAGCTCCACAGGAGAATGGCACAGACACTGAACACGGTTTGCACAATGCCCCAGGCTAAGCCACCCTGGTACATGCATGGCAGGGTTTCCATTTCTCTTTGTGGTAGGAATGTATCATGGAGGGGCTCTGGGGCACAGATCCTGTTAGGACATCACTTTAAAAATAGCCATAAAAACCGAAAGTGTTGTATTTAATGGGGGTGCGGTGGGGCTGGGCCCAGGGACAGAGTATCTGCCTCTTGTTTCTCCCAGCCCCAGGGGCAGTGGAGATCAGCACCACCCGCTGCTGTTTTAGTGAGACTTAGGGCAGCATCTTACCCTGAAAGTCCGCTCCGTTTTCTCCCTGTGGGGAACCTGGTCCAGGGTGCCATCTGTCTGACTCCTCTTCAGACCAGTCATGATGTCAGGGACATTGCTGAAATCTGCAATAAAAATGACAAAAACGTTCTAAATGAGTTGAGCCATGTGCAGATAAGAGTGACACAACAGGATTAAAGGCTCCCCCAAAGAAACTAAGCAGGGGAGCCTAGCAACCTTAAAACCTGGGCCTGTCAAGTGGATTTCCAACTCAGGGCGACTCCCTGTGGTACATGGTAGAACTGCTTCATCGGGTTTTAGTCATTATAATCCTGAGGGAAAATAGCACCACGCTTTTTTTCCATAGTGCCATTGGGTGGGTTTGAACTACCAACCTCTATGTCAGTTTTTGTTGTGAAGTGCCACTGAGTCGATTCTGACCCATAGCGGCCCTGTGTAGGGTTTCCAAGGAGCAGCTGGTGAGCTTGAACCACTAACCTTGCAGTTCAAACGACTTTGCAGTCTGACGCATTAGTCCACAGCGCCACACCAGGGCTCCCTCTATGTCAGTGTTGTTGTTGTTAAGTGCCATCGAGTCGATTCTGACCCATAGCGGCCCTGTGTAGGGTTTCCAAGGAGCAGCTGGTGAGATTGAACCACCGACCTTGCAGTTCAAACGACTTGCAGTCTGGCGCATTAACCCACAGCGCCAGGACTCCCTGTATGTCAGTTGTTGTTGTTGTTGTGTGCCATGGAGTCAGTTCCAACTCATAGCGACCCTGTACAGGGTTTCCGAGGCTGTATGTCAGTAGTCAAGTGCAAATAGTTTGCAGCACCCAAGACCTTCAACTAACATCCTGTTGTTGTTGTTAAGTGCCGTTGAGTCGGTTTTGACCCATAGTGACCCTGTATAGGGTTTCCAAGAAGCGACTGGTGAGCTTGAACCGCCAATCTTGACTGGTGAGCTTGAACCACCAACCCTGTGGTTTGAAACTGACTATGCAGTTGAGCACATTAACCCACAGAACTATACCAAGACTCCTAGAACTAACATCCTAGAAGGAAGGGAAGAGTGGTCTTCAGTGATGCTGATCACCACTCATCTTCAGTTGGTCGAGTGCTGTTACAATACTGATTGTATTGGGTGTCCTGGATGCACAAAGGGTTACGTGCTCAACCACTAAAGAAACAAAACCCTCACGACTGGGCCAGTAAATAACTTCATGATAAACGAAGAAAAGATTGAAGTTGTCAAAGACTTCATTTTGTTTGGATCCACAACCAACACTCACGGAAGCAGTAGTCAAGAAATCAAATGACATAATGCACTAAGCAAATCTGCAGCACAAGACCTCTTTAAAGTGTTAAAGAGCAAAGATGTCAGTTTGAGGACTAAGGAGCATTTGACCCAAGTCATGGTATTTTCAATAACCTCATATACATTTGCAAAGAGTCAGGAAGACTACAGAAGAACTGCTGCAGTTGAATTTGGTGTTGGAGATTACTGAGAGTACCATGGGCCATCAGCAGAACAGCAAATCTGTGTTGGAAGAAGTTCAGCCAGACTGCTCCTGAGAAGTAGGGATGGAGAGACTTTGTCTCTCACACTTTGGACATGTTATCAGGTTACAAGGTAAAGTGGAGGGTCAGAGAAAGAGACGAAGACAGACCCCTAACGAGATGGACTGAAAACATGGGGGCAACAATGGGCTCAGTAATAACAATTTTGGGAAAATATTCCCTCCTGTTGTGCATAGGGTAGCTATGAGTTGGAACCAACTTGATAGCACCTAACAACTAGCTGAAAGGTTGGCAGTTTAAGCCCACCCATAGGTATCTGGTCCATGGTACATGCAGTCCTGGTGTGGCGTTGTGGGCTAATGCATCAGACTGCAAAGTCCTTTGAACTGCAAGGTCGGTGGTTCAGCTCATCAGCTGCTCCTTGGAAACCCTATACAGGGTTGCTATGGATCAGAATCAACTTGATGGCACTTCACATAGGTACCTTGGAAAACAGGTCTGGCGATCTGTTTGTGGAAGTCACGGCCTTGAAACCCCCCCAGAGCACAGTTCTGTACTCTGTAAACATGCGGTCATCACGCGTTGGAATCAACTGGACAGCAACTAATGACAACAAGCCCATGAGGCTGGAAGCTGTGACACGAGTACTTCAAATACCAGAAGCTTAGTGCATGGTGGTACTGTAGGAGCAACACTGGACTGTGAATCACAAGGCAGGTGGTTCAAACCCACCAGTTGTTCCTCGTGAACCCTGTACAGGGAGGCTAAGAGCCGGTGCAGACTTGATGGCACTTAACAACAGCAACTACCACTGAGCCGATTCCGACTCACAGCAACCCTGTTTAGGGTTTCCGAGGCTGTAAATATTTCCCAGAGCAGAAAGACTTATCTTTCTCCTGTGGCTTTGAACTTCCAACCTTGCAATTAGCAGCTCAGTGCTTATCCTACTTATCCCAGTCCCTTATGAACTAAGACGAGGACAAAAGGCGTAGCGATCTATTCCAAAAATTAGCCAATGGCAACGCAATAGAATGCTGTCCAGTACGGCACTGAAGATAAGCCCTGTAGGTTGGAAGGCACTTGGAACACAGTGTCCGAAACAGCCGACTCAAGTACCCCAACAATCATGAAGATGGTGCAGGAAATGCGGAACTGCTTGTTCTGTTGCCCACGGGGGCACACTAGTGGTAACTGAGTGGACAAGAGGGACACTGAAGTCACAATATGAACACATTCAACGACAGAAACAACATCTTCTACCTACTTGTGTTTTAGTTAAAGTGGAGCAAAGAAATGGCTTCAATCTTGGGCCACTTTCTCATAAGCTCCGCTTATAGTCATCAATCTGGACCAAGGATCAAACAACAGTGGCTTCTTGTGGGTACTTCCCTCTTCAGGCTACCCAAGGATAAAATCTCCAGGGAGATCTTGGAAAACCAATTATGTACTATCACAGATTCTTATTACAATCCACAAACTTGCTCATTGATAAGCATTAGTCACAACACCATCCTAAATTTAAAGTTCCAAAAGAAAAGGTGTACCTTTTTCAACGTCCACAGTAAAGGTTCAGAAATAACATTACATGTAATGAGAGTGTACAATTTTCCATTCTATAACTATATACACATCCTACCCTCAACAATGCTCACCCCCCCACCGACCCCCAGGATTCTCAAATTAACAATCTGGAATGAATACACACAAGAACATACCTTTTTATCTTAATCTTTGTATTTGAAGACTGTCTCCTCAACTGAGAGGATACCAAATGGTTTCAGACCCCAGGTAGCACAACTAGACGTCACTGATTTTGTACCTGCCTGGGATGGAAAGGAAGGGATACGCCTCCTGACAACAAAACAGCCCAGCAAGACAGACGCAAGGAGAATGAACTCTAGGAGACATCTAGAAGCGATAGGGGTCCTAGGAAGCTGAGGGACTATGTGGACAGAGATGCTGTCACCTGAACCATGCTAATATCTCCAATTACGACACAAGCACATGCTTTAAGGCAGAAGTAGACCCAAAGAAAACATGTGCTGCTCTTCAGAACTATAAAGCTCTGACTTCTTCTTCCTCTGGCCTTCCAGAGAAGGGCCAGATCATTCAAGTCACACCAAAACGTTGCTGGTTGCTGAAATCCTTCACCTAGATAAGGCAGTGCTAACCACAAGAGCGGGAGCTGCTACCAGAGCACATGGGCAAGCCTTTCTCAGGCTGCACCACGAGGAAGGCTCCTCCCTAGCAGGGTGCTGTTACTGTTGTTGTTGAGTGCCATCAAGTTGATTCTGACCCATATCAACCCTGTACAGGGTTTCCTAGGAGCCGGTGCTGAGCTTGAACCAACGACCTTGCAGTTCAAGTAACTTTGAAACCCAGTGCATTAACCCACAGCACCACAACAATGACTAAATGAGAAATCAGATCCCACCCACTTATTTAGAGCCAGATCTACTCCTGACCCCCTATCTCAGCCTACCTAGTCTAGTGTGTGAACCACCTAAATGATGTCTGATGGAAAAAAACAGTCTGGCTCCCCATGTAGTCGGCATAAATGTATCCATCCAACCCAGTCTTTCTTTCAGGCATTGTGCTAGATGCTAAGATTACCAAGATGAACTATGGGATGCTCTCAGGATGGGTTTATTATGATGGGAGGGGGTTTCAAGCAGGGGAGTATAACAAAGGCATCACAGATAAGCTAAGTCCTCAAAGGGCTGAGCGAGGACACAAAGAAGTAACACATTCTTTCTGGTGCCATAAAAGACTCCAAAGAAAAAGAGACCCTTGAACGAAGTCTTAAAATCTAAACAGTCTTTGTTGTTGTTTATTGTCATCAAGTCAGTTCCGACTCACAGTGGCCCTGTATAGTGTTTCCAAGGAGTAACTGATGGACTTGACTTGTCTTTAAAACTGAAGATGATAAGAAAGGTGGGATGTAGGAAAGGGGAAACCAAGGATGGGAAGCAGCCTGCAAAGAGGCAGGCTGGGATGAGAGGCCAGCAGGACCAGGCTCCCTGTTTCATGCATCCAGGAGGAAAGGATGCTCCATGAGGGGTCAAACATTGTAGGGCAAGGCCTTGGCAGAAAAGTGGACTGGGCAGTTAAAGCAATCCTTCAGGAACGAGGAGTAAGGAGCTGAACTAACACAGGAAGGCTGGACAGCTAAGAGGTGAGCAATGGCCACCCTGGGGGGTGTACACCACGCATTCTGCTGCTAACCTAAAGGTTATGGGTTTGAGTCCACTCAGAGGCACTTCAGAGGAAAAGTCTGGGAGCTGCTTCTAAAAACCCAGCTACTGAAAACCCTACAGAGCAGTTATACTCTGACACACATGGAGTTGTCAGGAGTCCAAGCCCACTCAACAGTAACTGGATATTTGGGAAAAAAGAAAAAAATGATAGCAGAGAAGGTGAGGAAGTGGATCCTGGGGCTCTTGTATATCACTAACCAAGTACGAAGAGATGCATCCTGAAGTGGCATTGGGAAGATGCCTGCTTTTATTCATGTCTGAGCGACAGGGTCGATGGGGAACACATACAAGGCGGGGGTGGTAACAGTGAGCTTTGCTTGGGCAATGTCCAGTTTGAGATGCACAGG